GGGGAAGTTGCCAATTGTTTTTAAAAGAACACCACACTTCTGGAAATTTAACAATCTCGCTGATTCATTTTCAAGAATAACATTAGATTCCCGCTTCTCTATATAGATTACGCTTAGGATAGGACTTTAGTAACATTATTAGAATCGCTCACCATTTAATCTATAATACTTGAATCAATGTTCAGTTATACACTAGAATAGAAAAGTATAAGAAGATAGTCGTAGAAATTAAAGGCCCCACTGAAGCGAATACAAATCGTGGCGAATGCCCTTCAAAATCGGAATGCGCGCGCGGGCGTCGTCGATGAGGCCGAGATCGAGATCGACGTCCAAGGCCCCCTCCTTCTCGTCGAGCTGCCCCACCACCCGGCCGAGGGGATCGGCAATTAAGGAATGGCCATAGGCGACGTAGTCCGCCGCCTCATCCCGGGCCTGGGAGCACATCATGACGAATTGCTGGTTGTCCATCGCGCGCGCGCGCGCGGTCAACTCCCAGTGCAGGGGGCCGGTGACCATATTAAACGCGGCCGGGCAGACGATAATCGACGTCCCTTGGCTGGCCAATCGGTGCGCGAGCTGCGGGAATCGCATGTCAAAGCAAATCGCCACACCGATCTTGAGGTTGACATCCTCCATCGTAATCGCCTCGGCGGTGCCCCCGGCGGACAACACCTCGCTCTCATCCACGCACAGTTGCTCGGTGTGGATCTTGAAGAGGTGCACCTTGCGGTGTACCCCGCGGAGCGTCCCGTCCGGGCCGAAAACCATGCTCGAATTGTAGACTTTCCCCTCCTTCCGCTCGGGGATGCTTCCGGCCACCAGCCAAACCCTGCAATCCCGCGTGATGGCCGAGAGGGCGTCGAAGGTTGGGTGCCCGGGGCTCAAGGCCTCGGAGAACTCCTCGAAGCGCTTACAGCTGTAGGGGCTGTTAAAGCACTCGGGCAGCACCACCAGTCGGGAGCCCCGGGCCGCCGCGCTCTTGACCAGGGAAACCGCCTTGTCGATGCAGGCCTGTTTGTTCGCGCTCGACGCCATTTGGCATAAGGTGACTTTTAGCGTGGAGGCCATGCCGCTTGGGGGTCCTAATAAAGGTCGTGTTGACACTCAATTGTCGTTAGTTTGGATCGCTTCGAAAAGAAAAAAAAAAGATGTATAAACGAAAATAGACCTTCGGAATGAATAAACCTTTTCGTTGATTAACTAATAAGGGTTCGTTAAAAGGAGGTCAGGAATCGGAAAATTGGGAAGAGACTTTGGGCGATCCTTCCGCTGCTTATATCTCAAAACCGAATTGGCCATTGGTGAGAAGATAGTACTTTTTCCCCTCAACATACACCTAGGGAGACACCGATAATAATTTGAAAAGAAAATTCAAAAATTGAAGATGCGCGCTAATCACCAACAAACCATTAAAAAAAAAACATTCAGGCTTGTCAAGTCCCAAAGGCACTAATTTACGCCAACTCGCATCGTTAAATTTCGAGAGCGCCACCACCCCACTCGAGAGGATAACCAGAAACACACACACAGACACGAAGTCCAAACATTCCCATAAAATAAATTCCGAAAGTTTCGCACCGTAATAAAATACAGAAACGAGATCCCCAACAGCGTTTGTGGGAAGTCCACCTCAGGCGCGGTGTCGGGACAACGAAATGGGGGGGGGATGAAAAGCTCGTATTCGCCGCGAACCCCCCATCGCAGAAGCCGCTAGACGACAAACTCACCCCGCTGGCTGACCCAATCCACGTCAAACCCACCATCCAAAGTGAACCCCCCCCCCCCTCCCCCTTTGGGTTTCCCTTTGCGGGCGCAGGCCTTTGAACGGCCCACACCGCGCGGCTTCAAGCCTCGAGAATCCCCTTCGCCCGGCCCCCCCCCACCGCCGCGAATCCGGCGACGTTTCAGCCCCCCCGTTCGTAGGGAATCGAGCCGTCCTCGGCGGCGTCGGCGGGGCGGCGGATCGCGTCCCCGGCCTCGGCGGCGTCCGTCGTCAGGTCCGGGACGACCCCGCGGTCCTTGAGCAGGCGCTCAACGAAGCCCGGGGGGTTCGGGGCGTCGTAAAAAGGGTAGGCCCGGAGGCGATAGCGCCGGGGGTCGACCGGGACCTCGACCCCGACGCTGGGGGGCGGGGGAAGCGGGGCCTCCGGCGGGGCCTCGGCGGCCGCGTCGAAGTCCACGGCCCAGCCCGGGACGTCGGCGTGGGGGATCGGCCCCGGCCGCGTGGTGCTCTCGCCGTGAAAGCAAACGTAGCCGTCGGCGCGGCCGCCGTGGCCGGCCCGGTCGAACGCGATCCCCGCGAGGACGACGTGTTTGTCGGCCGTCCCTTCCTTCCACTCGGGGCGGAAGAAGCGCTGGCCGCGGCCCTGCGAGGGCAGCCCCGCGGCCAGCTGAAAGAGCGTCTGGCCGGTGGAGGTGTGGTAGCGGTAGGACGCCACCGCGGCGTGCAGGGCCGCCAGCGGGTCCACCTGCGCGGCCCGCTCGAGCGCCTCCAGGCCCACCAGCTGGGCCCCGTCGAGGAGCGCCCGGTCCTTCGCGTGGAGGACCACCCCCGGGACGTATTCCTTGGCCGCCGTCCACGGCATCCGGGCCCGCTGCGGCCCGGGCGAGTGCTTCGCGCCTTTGCTCCCGAGCGTCATGGAGCTGCCGGCGTTGAGCGGGTCGCCGCGGCGGAGGCCCCGGCAAAGTCGCCACATCGCGCCCGGCAAACCACACGGCGGGGGAAGTCCCGATCGGGCCGGGATGAATCAAAACTAAAGAGAAAGGCAGCCTGCCATCGCGGAAGGTGCGATTTATCGCGTTAAAGGGGGGGGGGAAGGGAGGAAATGAAGTTCAGGTAGTTCGCAAAACCCGAAGTGAGGGTCCAAAAAAATGCGGAAAACTGCAGTACCGGATAGCCAACTTGGGAATCGGCCTCGATGAGTCACGTTGCGCTTTGAATAAAAAAAAAAACATTAATTGGGGTTTGTTTGTTTTCATCCCCGTGGTCCGCGTCTTTTGCCCGAACAATATTACAACCCAACAACAAAATAAAATAGAGGCATCCCTATAAAGATAGTCCTAAACGACACGCTGGTAAAAGATACCGGTCTTTGCAAGCCAAACGCTTTTAGGATGACCGCCGTTCCCTCGGGCGCCATTCCTCCCCCGAGGACGCCGCTCCCACCACGCAAAACAGGAGTGGGGAAAATTAAACGGTTTGGCCCCCCGGCGCCTCCGGCGAGGGGTCGAAGAGCCGCACGTAGGCCTCCGGGTGGAGCAGGGACGTCGCGCCGAGCAGCACCTCGCGGCCGGACTGCTGGGCGACTTCGTAGGCGGCCCGGACCTCGCCGTAGGTGGCGCCGCCGACGACGAAAAGCACCACCCGCTGCGGCGCCCGCAGGGCGATCTCGCCCTCGTGGCCGAGGCTGAGCAAACCCGCCCCCGCGCGCTGGGCGGGGGCGAAGGGCGCCGTCAGCGCCCCCCCGCCGAGGACGGGGAAGTCGGCGTCGCGGAGGCCGCCCCCGAGGCGGCCTCGAGAACGCAGAACACCCG